CCCTATAGGGAGCTCCACCGAAGGCCCCAGTGCTGCCGCCCGCATGCGTCAGCCACACCCAATTCGGCACACCCCTCACACGCTTCGTGGCCCCATAGGAGGCTCCACCGAAGGCCCCAGTGCCGCCGCCCGCATGCGTCAGCCACACCCAATTCGGCACACCCCTCACACGTTTCGTGGCCCCATAGGGAGCTCCACCGAAGGCCCCAGTGCTGCCGCCCGCATGCGTCAGCCACACCCAATTCGGCACACCCCTCACACGTTTCGTGGCCCCATAGGGAGCTCCACCGAAGGCCCCAGTGCTGCCGCCCGCATGCGTCAGCCACACCCAATTCGGCACACCCCTCACACGTTTCGTGGCCCCATAGGGAGCTCCACCGAAGGCCCCAGTGCCGCCGCCCGCATGCGTCAGCCACACCCAATTCGGCACACCCCTCACACGTTTCGTGGCCCCATAGGGAGCTCCACCGAAGGCCCCAGTGCTGCCGCCCGCATGCGTCAGCCACACCCAACACCCCTCACACGTGCCCCACACCGTAAGCGAGGCCCCATAGGGAGCTCCACCGAAGGCCCCACACGTTTCGTGTGGCCCCATAGGGAGCTCCACCGAATGCGTCCCCACCCAATTCGGCACACCCCTCACACGTTTCGTGGCCCCATAGGGAGCTCCACCGAAGGCCCCAGTGCTGCCGCCCGCATGCGTCAGCCACACCCAATTCGGCACACCCCTCACACGTTTCGTGGCCCCATAGGGAGCTCCACCGAAGGCCCCAGTGCCGCCGCCCGCATGCGTCAGCCACACCCAATTCGGCACACCCCTCACACGTTTCGTGGCCCCATAGGGAGCTCCACCGAAGGCCCCAGTGCCGCCGCCCGCATGCGTCAGCCGCACCCAATTCGGCACACCCCTCACACGTTTCGTGGCCCCATAGGGCTCCACCGAAGGCCCCCGAAGGCCCCAGTGCCGCCGCCCGCATGCGTCAGCCACACCCAATTCGGCACACCCCTCACACGTTTCGTGGCCCCATAGGGAGCTCCACCGAAGGCCCCAGTGCCGCCGCCCGCATGCGTCAGCCATACCCCATTCGGCACACCCCTCACACGTTTCGTGGCCCCATAGGGCTCGCCACCGAAAAAGATATTCACAATTGCGGCACTCACAACTGCATATGGTTGGGTCCTTCGCCAGGATAATCGGCCTTCCCGCTTTTTCACTTCTGGTTGACTCGGGGGGCGTCCAGACGACCCCAGAACGGCCACAGGGAGGCGCAAGGCAGGCCCGAGGATTGGAAAGTCATTTTGGGGGAGGGCGGGGGAAGGGGGGCGCCTCGTGGCCCTAACAGGGCCCCGCGAGGGGGCCCCGGAGATGGACAAATGTAGGAAACTCATGGGAAAAAAGCAAGGTGTTTGGTCTTCTGGCCTTGTCGCTTCCGACTAGCTCTTGAGGCGTCCAGAGGCCTCCAAGACGGCTCCAGACGAGGCCACGGACGAGCCCCCAAGAGGCCCGAGGCTGGCGCAGCAGGGCCCGGAGAGCGGGGAAAGCGGAGAGAACGCCGTAAAAAAGCAGTGTCATCGGCCTTCTAGCTTGTACACTATCGCTCGACTCGGGGGGCGTCCAGACGACCCCAGGATGGCCACAGCAAGGCGCAAGACAGGCCCGAGGAGGCGAAATTCGTTTAGGGGGGGGGGGCGCTGGGGTGTGGGCTCCCCAGCCCTATAAAAAATCAATAAAAATAGGAATATATATATATATATATATATATATATATATATAACTACACACACACACACACACGTCAATGCCAGTGTAAGACAGCGTGCGCGATTGAAACATGCAGATGAGGATCAGGGGGAGGAGAAGGAGCAAAGGACCCAGGAGAGGGACGGGAAGGGGGAAAAGGCAAACGCGTTGCGGTGGCATCCCCGATGGCTCGGCCAGCCGTTTTTATAAACACACAACGGTCGCCACGGAGCAGGAGGAGGAGGAGGAGGAGGAGGAGGAGGAAGGCCAGAAGCAGGGGGAGTAAGGGGGGCAACAAATCTATCGACGTAAGTGGCCGAAGCTCCCTTAGGCACACTCTGCAACCACTCTGTATGGCGGGCGAGGCACCCGAAGGCATACCCCCACACTGCCCTGCACCAGCTGTGGAAGCGAGGGGTCACAAAAGCAAGACGCTCGCGCGTGCGCAAACCAGCCTGCAGCCGGCGCTCGCACGGGGCCCCACACAGGCGGGCAGGAAGGACACCACAGCCCAGCGGAAGGCATCGACAGGGCGTGCGCAGCAGCGCCTGCCCGCCCGAGCCCTGCCGCGCAGGGGCGGCAAAGACAAGGCGCGTATGCCCGTGGGCGGCGCCGAAAGGGCGACTTCTCCCCCCCGTTCCGCCGCCGCCGCCGGTCGCCGCGCCTGCGTCCCCACCTGCCGGGATGTCTGGGCCGGTCACCTGTAGACGCAGCATGCGTCTGAATGAGGGTCATTTTGTCCCTGGCACGCGCATTCGCCTCTGAGGCCAATTCACTTCGTTCCGCGCCCCGGACGTTGAACCCGCTCCCTGTCCCTCGCCTTGGAGCCGCGAACCAAAAAAAAAAGTATGCCCGTGGGCTGGGCGGCCCGAAAAGACGTCGCGGGTATCGCGGTGCGGCGGGAGGAGGCAGCCCACGGAGAGGCGAGGAGCGCCGGCCGCCCACGGAGAGCTCCTCGCCAGGCTCGCGAAGCGTGCACACGGGTGCTCAGATGGAGAGGTAGGCCCGAAGTGCCAGCTGACGTGACGTCCCAACGTTCTGGATCTCGGGGGTGCTTCCCAGGGTGTCTGCGACAGAGTGGAAGCAGACCGTAAACGTGCCCCTCCTCACCGAGCCGCCCGCCAGCGTGTCCGAAGGCCAACTGTGTAAGCGATCGCCGTGGCCATCGAGGCGAAGCCGGAGTCGGAGCCAGAATCGGAAGAGCAAGAGTCGGGGAGGGAGCCAGAAACGAAGCGAGTGTCGGAAGACAAGCCAAAGTCGGTGCCAGAATTGGCACAGGTGTCGGAGCTAGGGTCAGAGCCGGAGCGGATGTCGGAGGGGGAGCAGGAGTTGGAATCAGGGCCGCCATCCGAGCCAGCGAATCTTTCGGGGCATGCGCATCCATCGAAGTTGGCGTCGAAGTTGTCGCTGTGAAGTCGCCCGTTCCAGAGCCCGACCGAAGAGTAAGAACGACAAGATTCGGTATCGCAAGATAGTGCCCGTCTCGCATACGGTGCCTGTGGATCAGGGATAACTGCCCGCAGTTCCGCCCTGGGCAGGAATCTATGTCACCGAGGCGGTGCAGGGTTACGCAGACTGATGCCGCCTACGTCGCACCGATGCGCGAGCGAGGCCTCGTCCAACAATGCGGTGCGACCTATTTTCTCTGTGGCGCATATCATCCCACTCGGGTCCGTCCAGGCTTGGCACCGTCGCCTTGTTGAAGACTGTCGTGCTGATGGTGCCTGTCGTGCTGTTCAACGCCGTCCCAGGCTCGAAAATGGAGTCGGGGCCGGAATCGGAGTTGGAGTAAGAGTCGGAACCAGGACAAGAGTCGGAGATGGAGTCCACGCAGGACCAGATTTAGCTCCCGGGAGGTTTGGACAAAAAAACTGCCGTGCCCGGCGCATAACTATGACATTGGCCGTGCTTCACGTCGAGGCAAAGCTGGCAGCGAAAGGGAAATCACCTTCGGAGCCAGCACGTCGTCGTAGCCAGCTCTCCGTTGGGCGTTGGGGCGGCGGTCTTGATAGGTGTCGTGGCTAGCGTCGCAGCTGTGGTTTTCCCAGCTCTTGTGACAAGCCTTGGGCACCCCTGTGGATCACTTATTCAAGCATGCCACTTTCTACCGTCGCACATGCCACTAACTGCCCGCAACTTCGCCTCACCCCCAAGATGTGTAAGTGTTCATTCATAGCGGTATACACACAAATATGCGTGTACATATGTTTTGCGTGTGTGTGTTAACAAGACGCTGTACATCTTGACGCAATATATGATTCCAATGCTCTGGGGAAACGCTCGCACGTATGGTCCGCATGGTATTTTGTGTTGCGTCACATGTTCACCAATCAGATCTAACAGTCTTGATTGCATAATGTTGTTTTCGATGGAAAATGTCTGGGCTGCATCGGGATGCGCAGCGAATTGCACTATTTCATTATAGAAGTTGGGTCCAGAAGCCATGTGAGGACAGAGTAGACACGGCCCGGATCGGATAGGGAAGCCCAGTCCGTCCTCGTCGGGCTTGAATGCGAAAGTAACCCTCAGGATGCGAGTGTGAGATTATCTGGAACATTCGTTGGACGAGTGGGGTCAGTTGCTTGACGCTCTCATGCTAGGCCACCGTTTCGTACCCCACAAATTTTAATTCGGAACAAACGCTGGCGACTGTTCCTAGCATTCGCGCCCTGGGGCCGACAAGGGATCGGCGCATCGGACAGCCGATGTAGCGTTCTGCTGCAGTTAGCGCACAACAAAACTGGACTACGCGGAACTGCTGCGCACAACTTTTTTTCACCAGCGGAACAGAAAATTGTCTGTGGCCCCCCACTCCTTGAAAGAATGGGATGGGCGATTAGCGCCCTTTCGCCTAGCCCAAGGTAGAAGACGATTGACGATGACAAAATGGTAGAACCCCATCCCAAACCTTGTAAACTGAGGTTTTGACATCCGGGATGGGAGAAGGATGGGCTTTGGCACCTCCGCATTGAGGATTGCGACCCTCCAGGTTATTCCGAACCACGACCCCAGCCTCCCAAAGCTCCGACGTCATCACTCTTTAGTCCGTTGGCCCCAAGCCTCCCGACCCTTTCCATGAGACTGCTTTTTCGCTCCTGCCGTTTGCTGACGGCCCTGGTGCCCGAAAATAGGGAAGGAAACATATACCGATACCGCTACTCCTGGGACCTCTCCAGGGGTGCGGTCTGACCAGAAGTTCGAGGAGAATCCAGCCGTGGCGCATCGCTGCGTTCTGCGCCCCCGAGAGAAAGGCCCTCGCGAGTCCGAAACTGAGGCGAAACGCCGCTACCAAAGAAATCACAAGTTGTCGGAAACCCCAGACCGCAGCGCTGCAGCACTGCAGGCCGGCCCCCTGTGCTCGAGGCGGGCACGGCCAGGCTTCTGAGCGGCCCGGCCCGCCGGCCGTTTGCAGCCACGCATCCGCGTCGCCGGGGGGATGAGGGGCCACGTTCGAAGGGGAAGCACCTCACAGGGGCAAACGTCGACCCGGGATCGGCGACACGTCGGCGACGGCTCGGCGAGATCGGCCCCCGATGGCAGAGCCGCAGGATCCTGGGCGGGGTGGGCCATCGAGCCCCCAGTAAGCGATCCATGGGCGATTAGGGGCCGACGCGTTCCCCTCTGAGACTGCCCCCCCTCCTCCTCCTCCTCCTCCTCCTCCTCCTCCTCCTCCTCCTCCTCCTCCTCCTCCTCCTCCTCCTCCTCCTCCTCCTCCTCCTCCTCCTCCTCCTCCTCCTCCTCCTGAGGACCCTGCCCCCGAGAGGACGCTGGCGCGGCTCGAGCTCGGCCTGCCGTCGGGCGCGCGCCGCCGCGGGCGGTCTTCCGCCGCCGCGCCGAGGAGGCCGTGCCGCCGCGCGGAGAGGCGCGGCGCCCGGTCCCTCGGAGGGGGAGCGGAAGGCAGGCGGAGCAGCAGCAGCAGCGTCTGACCGAGCCCTCCCCCCTCCTCCTCCTCCCCCTCCCTCCTCCTCCCCCCTCCCTCCTCCTCCTCCCTCCTCCCTCCTCCCTCCTCCCTCCCCTCCTCCTCCTCCTCCCTCCTCCCTCCTCCCTCCTCCCTCCTGCCGTGGCCTTGGCCCCGCTGGCCGACTCGTCCCCCTGGGTGGGGGATGCAGGCTGTTCCCCGCTGGTCTCGCCTGGCGCATCCCCAGATGAGGGGGGTGGGACGGTGGGGCTCAGATGCCATGGCCCGGTGGGGATGGGGATCGGTCGAACGATACTGAGCAGCAGCAGCAGCAGCAGCAGCAGCAGCAGCAGGAGAAGCAACGGGAGGAGCAGCATGGGGAGGAGCAGCCGCAGGAGGAGGAAGAGCAGGGGCAAGATGGGCAGGATGGGCCGGAGGAGAGGGACAGGAGGAGCAGGAGGAGCAGGAGCAGCAGGAGGAGAGTAAGGAGGAAAATGGCAGCACTGCACTGGCCGCTCTGACCCGCCGAGCTGGGCAGTCAGAACTGTGCTACCTTCACTGGCAGCCCTGCGGCCATAACGGCAACTAGGAGGTACAGCAGCAGGAAGGAGGAGAACGATGAAGCTCACAAACATTCAATGAGAGATCTTGAAATGACTACGGCGCTTCCGTCTCTTCGACTGTAATGCCGCTGCTCCTGAGCTCCTGGAGGAAGACGGTCGCGCTGTCCAGCTCGTGCGCCTTTGCACCAGAACCCCTCCGCGGAATGGCGAAGTGGATCTGTTCGTACAAGCAGCCAAAGCCGTCCTCAGGAGGAGGGTGGAGCGGAGGACGCGGAGGATACGGAGGTGGAAGAGGAGGAGGAGGAGGACGAGTAGGATGAGGAGGTGGAGGGAGGAGGAGGACCTCGGAGGAGTGGGCGGAGGAAAAGGTGAAGGAGTAGAGGAGCTGCAGAAGCAGGAGGATGATCAGCAGGAGCATGAGCAGCATGAGGAGGAGCAGCCAGAAGACAAGAAGAGACAGCAGGAGGAGGAGCAACAGCAGCAGCAGGATATGGGGCAGGAGAAGAGGGACGACGATAGGGAGCTGAAACAGGACGGGGCAGTAGCAAGAACATGGTTTCGGCGGGGTGCTCTCACCAACTCTGCCAGGCCGCCCGTCGGCGGGACGTTCGGAGATCGGTCCTCAGGTGTGTGGACTTCCTGCGGCTCCCAAAAAGAGGGGATGAGGAGGGGTAAGAGGAGGAGGACCTCGGAGGAGTGGGCCGAGGAAGAGGTGGAGGAGCATAGGAGCTGCAGAAGCATGAGGATGATCAGAGGAGGATGAGGAGCCGCAGAAAGATAAGCGGTGGAAGCGACAAGACATACAACGATGTTGTCGTAACTGCGCCAGCTGCTGGTGGCAACGAACACGAGGGTTTGATACCAGGAGGCAGGATGGAGGCGGGAGGAGGGAGGAGGCAGGAGGGAGAAGGCAGGGGGGAGGGGGGAAGAGGGAGAAAGTAGGGGGGAGGAGGTAGGAGGGAGGAGGCAGGAGGCAGGAGGGAGGAGGCAGGGGGGGAGGAGGCAAGAGGAAATGGGTGACTAAGGCGAGGAGGCGGGCCTGCAGAGCCCGGCGGAACAGTGCGCTGATCTCGCGCGGGTCATTGCCGAACGCTCCGCAGCCCCATGCTCCAAGGACGAGCGTGGTGGTCTCCGGCTGCATCAACTTTGCGGAGGAGGGAAGGAGAAGGGGAAGGAGGAGGAGGAGGAGGGGGAAAAGGAGGAGGAGGAGGGGGAGAAGGAGGAGGAGGAGGACCATGATATGCTTGAAACCACCACCACCACCATCATGATCATCATGATCATCATCATGATTCATGATCATCATCATGATCATCATCATGATCATCAGCATGACCATCATCTCATCATCATCAGCAGCATCATCATGATGATCAACAGCAGCAGCACCAGCAGCAGCGTCTCCATCGTCATCGTCATCGTCATCGTCATCGTCATCGTCATCGTCATCGTCATCGTCATCGTCATCATCACCCACATCATCATCGTCATCATCACCTTCTCATCCTTCTCCTGGGGAGAATGGGCGGAGGAGAGGGAGGATGATGGGAGGGAGGGAAGACCAGGAGGAAGAAGGAGGAAGGGAGGGGGAGGAGAATGGGTAAGGGGCATGGAGGAGGAGGAGGAAAGAGGATAATGATCGAGGAGGATGGATGGAGGAGGATGAGGAGAAGGATGAGGAGCAATAGGGGGGAGAAAGGAGGATGGATAAGGAGGCTGGAGGACGGGAAATAGGAGGAACATCGAGGAAGAAGACGAGTAGCTTGAAGCGCAGCGGGTGTCGAGCTTACCTGCGTGATGCCTGCGGCTTGTGTTCTTCTGAAAACGCAATTTGTAAGTGTGAATTTGCGCACGTGTATACATTTATACACATATGTATACACGTGGAGATGTGTGCATACATATGTAAATATACATATGTGTATCTATGGATACACGCATGCATACACATGCATACACATATCCATTTACAAACATACGTAAACGTATGCAAATACATGTACACACATATACATAGTATCACACCAGAAGCAATACAAAAATACTCTATATCAGAAACTAAGCGGGCGGCAAAGAAAAACACATGAAACGGTGACTGACGTATCGAAACAAACGGCGGCGAGGCAAAACAACAAATGCAAACCAGTTGGAACTCCCAATACAAGTTGGCGGCGAATCGTCTTGTCACCAGTGCGGAATTATTCTGGCGAAAATCATTCTGGCGGGCTGCACTTTACAATCAGTTGAATAAAACTACAACGCATATAACAGACCATTCGGAACTCAAATAATCAGAGGTATGGAACAAATGAACACATAACATATTACGGAACAACAGACGGGCGTCAAAACAAAACAAACGAAACAAAACAAGGCAACTTAGATTTGTCCACATAAAGCGAGAATTCAAATCATACGATTCGCTCAAAGGAAAACTTTTAGAGTTCCCTCGAAGAGCATGCCTTGCAATGCGACTCTCCAGAGAAAGATTTGCAATTAAATCAAAAGGCGTGCCGCGTGATGCGGAATGGCAATACTGTTCAACTCCCAACCAAACGACACATTTCAACCCGCTCGCGAGCGCAACCGCAACCGCAACTAGGCGACAGCAAAATGGCGGCGGGCTCGCCGGCCAAAATCAATTCAAAATGACGGCGGCGGGGGAGGCGGGCGTCCAATCAATACTGCAGTGAGCACCGAAGCAACCCTAGTGATTACATAATCATCTTCATAATCATATATATACACACAGATACATAAAGCCTCGGCATACACACATACATCTACATATATATATATATATATATATATATATGTACGCATACATATACACATACAGTTACACATAGATAGACACACACATACATCTACATATCCATATGCATTGACTTGCACACACACATATATATACATTCACATTTGCATATCCGTAAACATGTACATATACATACCATCATGCATATACATATACATGTACATACACACCGCCAAATATATCTACATTTACATATACGTATACACATACACATACATACAACTATACGAAAATATCTACAAACATATATACCATACACACATACACACATATATATACACACACCAACTTATTTATTTGCAAAATCAGGAGGGGTGCACCCCCCACCCCCTTGAAACGGGACCCACTGGATCCGTGGCCCCGGGGGCCCCCTGGGCGCCCCTGCAGGAGCCCCCCAGAATTTTCAGAGCCCTTGCTGGGCCTAGGCAACGGGCCCAAATCGGTCAGGAGAGCGGCCGAACACCCCCCCGGGGGTCCCAAGAGACCCCATACACCCACCAGACGCCCGAAGACGACCCAAAGAAGACTCCCAAGAGGCTTTCAAAACGAAGAAAAACATGGATTTCCCAAGATTTTTGCATCATTGTGGGATTCAGTCTTCTGGGCGTCCGAGACCGCCTGGGAGGCCCCAAGATGGCCCCAAGACACCCTCTGGTCGTTCAGGGGGACCGCGGTTAGAGGCGTGGTGGCCCGAGGAAGCCCCCAGAAGCCCCCAGATTACGCCCAAATGGCCTCCAGACAGCCTTAAGAAAGCTTGAAAACCTCCCGTGAGGCCCCCAGAGGCTCTCCAAGGAGAAGCCTCCGCAAAAAGAGCTAAGGAGGATGGGAAAGAATTCGCAGGGTAGAACGAGAATGAGGAAGAAGAAGCATGGAGGGAGGATCAGGAATAACATGATTATAACGGCGATGCCGGAAAAAGGCAACAAGGGCAAGGAGTTATCGCAAAATTGTCTGATTGACCTTCCTGCCCTTCCGCCTGCATG